CTACAAGTAACCGAACCCCTTTTTATAAAAGAAACAATTCATCATCATTCAACCATTTAATAAAGATAAATCTAATGAACACATTAGATATCATCTATCGCTATAACCAGTGGGGCATGAGGCAGAATCATGCAGGCCGTAGAAACAACAATAGACTCGACGACCCTAACTTATTACTAATATCAGTGGGGCATGAGGCAGAATCATGCAGGCCGTAATACAATAATAAGATCATGAGGTTAACACATCTTTCAACCTATCGCTACTTCAACGATCTCGTGACATGAACTGTTCGTGAAAGCACTCGATATCGGCTAAAACAGTCGATTCAGGCATAGCGCACAGTTAAGATCATGCCCTCTCAGAAACAGATCTACCAAATAATGATCCCCACTCCACGGTGCTAACAGTGGGGTGTGAGGCAGAATCATACAGGCCATGATAACGGGCCATGAAACGGTTTTTGCTAGCCAATAGATCTACTTAAGATCAAACACGTCTTAACCGCACGCTATGCACGATTAAGATTGCAATAGAACAGCCGATAAAACATAACCCATCGTTTAAAGTGCAGATTAGATCAAATTTAGATTAACAAACGATGGGTTAAACAAGATATAAGACTGATCTAGATCAATCCCAATCGGACGAAGTGATATTGGTGTAATTAAATAAATAATGGAAGCAATAAGCAATATCGATAATTTAATGAATCTATCCGAAGGAACGTCACCCTTAGATAGAGCCGATAACTTAACCTTAATCTAGTTCGAGCAGTAGAGGTCGACCGGATCGATACAGCCGTACTTGAACTAGACAAAAGTCGATAACTAACTTATACCAGAGTCGCAGTGGAGGTCGACCAGATCGATGCAGCCGTATGAACAGAGGTATAAGCCATGACGGTACTTACAGACAAACAGTGGAGGTCGACCGGATCGATGCAGCCGTACTTGCTGAAGAACTCGCCGAGATCTACTCTACTCCTACTCCTAAGGGGTGGCCGGAGCCAAAAAAAAAGTAAATAACTGGTATTTGATTGATTGTGTGTCTTTTATAATAGCCGGGGTTTGATATTTATACCCGAGACCTACGCATGACTCCTACCTAAGCACGACTCATCACAATCTTTGGCCCTAAGAGAAAACATTTCAAATTTAAGATAACTTGGACTCTAATCTTTCCCTTTTTGTAGAGTCCATCATGTCTTGTCCCGACGCCGATCGTAGCCTTTGTCGTTATCTGGCGACGCTGCCTGAAGAAAGTCAATTCCAGTGCTGCATTCGAATCAGCTGGTTCCGATCTGCACGTAATTGATTCCTTGATGACATGATCTTGGGAGCTTTCGAGTCCCTATGACTCTTCTTCCAAATTTTGGTGTAAACAATTCTTCATCATCTTCTTCCCATGGCTCACCATCATCAGCAAGCTTCTTCCTGCCTCTCCCCTTTTTACCTTCAGCAGATATGGATTTCTCAGCTGAGTCAGCTGAGTCAGAGTGTCAGAATCACTATCTTCCACGCTAAGTGACTCAACATCCTAGGCACCACCACCATTGTCAGATTCACCTCCACTAGGCAAGGCAGTATCAACAGACTGTTTGTTCTGCCCATCATCATAACCAAGCAAAGGGGGAAGTAGTGGGGGATCAACAGATGCACATGCCTCATTATCCAAAGACACACTCTAACTATATGCCACGGGAACAGTGTCATAAAAATTCACAAACAAATGTAGCCTCCTTAGGTCCACGGGAACAGGGTCAAAGGTTAGATTGGTATAACATTGGGTGTGCCTGTCGAAAAATGACAAATTGAACCCATGATTCTTCCCAATAGAAACTTTATCTGCTACATCCATTGTTACATCCTTCAGATTCAGAGTGTCCCTATCTTGGATTAGCTGAAAATCTGTTGCATTGTGGCCCACGTTCCTACCATCATCGCAAACCTCATAGTAAGCTGGGACACGCACCGCTATCCGTAATGCAAAACTAATGTCCATCTAAAAAAATGGACAAGAACAAGAAAACATGAAAATCCTAACTTGTGTAGCGCAAATCGACCCCCATTTCATTGCAACGACTTGTGTAGCGCAAATCGACCCCCATTTCATTGCAACGGCCCAACGTAACCCAAATCAATCGGGGAAAGAGGAGAATAGTGCATACCCGTTAGGAACCCATGACAAATTCAATCCCTTCGATGGCGAGTCTATGCTCGGGCGGAGCCGCTTCGGTTTCGCCGATGAAGCCATCTTCACGCATCCATGAAATGGCAGGGCGACACCGGCGGCCGAGGTGGCGACGGGTCACATCTCCTTTCCGCCTGCGGGGACGAGATGGCGGCGACGGCGCTGCGGGAGAGTGGTGACGGCGCTGCGGGAGAGTGGACATAAGGTGCGGCTAGGGTTCGTCGCGTCTGGCGGAAGGTGGTCTAGTTCGACCAAATCGGGTCTGGCTCGAACAAGTACGGTCCACAGGGGCATCAGTTGTCATTTTAGAAAGTTTCTCTCTCCCGATCTCTGAAAATGAATATTTTAATCAACGAGGTGTCCACGGGCAAACAACCACGAATTTGTAACGGTACTCAGCAAATTCTCCATTTGGCGGTGTGTGCCAGCCAAATAGACGTTTTCGTGATGTCCCACAACAAAATTTGCGATACAGTAAATAAGCGTTCCTGGCCCGAACGGTTCCGGAACGTGATTCTCTATGAATCGAACAGGCCTAAGAGATCTGCTTCCGGCATACAGGAAAATATCTAGTGTCGTCCTCGGTGATGGAAGATCTTCTGATTTCTGGGAGGATGTTTGGCCGGATGTCTGAATCATATCCGGCATTGCATTCCCATGTTGCTGACAAGAACACCTCAGTCCATCACATTCTTCAAGTCGGCCTCCCTCATACACTACAGCCCAGACTCTACACAGGCCTCCCTGGAGCTCGCTACTCTTCTACCTGTCATCCAAGAGGTGCAACTGCATGATATTCCAAGAGGTGCTGCTTTGAGGTGAATCCCACCGCCTGCTCACCGGGCATATCTACAGAGCCTCTGTTTAGGCAGGAAACTCATTTGCACATGATGGCCACATGCAGTTTTGTTAAAACAATATGGAGGCAGGTGGAGCTCTCACATAATGAGCAAGGTCTGTCAGTCACCAGGAGGAACATCAAAGAGTGGCGGAGGCAAATCACTAAAACACAAGGGCAAGTAGACCATGAACAACGAGCAAGGTTGATAACATACACTGCTGGGAATCTGTGGAAGGAAAGATGCAGGCGAGTCTTCAATAACAAGGCGTGCACCACGCAGAAAATCATTCTAACAGATTGCCAATGATGTATATATATGCTGCAGATGGCGCAAGAAGAGTATCGATAGCTAGTCACTATATTATGCAGTTTTCTTTTTACTTTTTTCTCAACCATTTGTAAATATCTAAACTTTGCTTCCTACTGAATGAAAAGGCAGTGCACCTGCCAATTATGTTCAAAAAGAGCCTCTGTTTCTGCGGGCCGGGACAGTTTCCTACAAAAGATTTGGCTCGGCTACGTTCCACCAAGAGTAAAAATTTTTGGCTGGCTAATGGTGCAGGACCGAATTCATAGCCGGGTTAACCTTCACAAGAAATCCATCATCTCAGAGGCAACCTGCGCCCTGTGCCTCACTGCAGAAGAAACAACGGACCATATCATGTCTTCTTGTCCTTTCGCAGCCTCATTCTGGAATCATGTTGGAGCTGGACTGATCCACATTGCACCGGTCAGAGAACTCTAGGACTCTTCTCTTCCAACGAACATAGGTCAAAGAAGCTCTCCTACATTTCTGCTCCTCTATTGTTGGGAATTGTGGAAGCACCGCAATGCAGTAGTTTTCAACGGTATGCTCCCAAGGCTCTGTAGGCTCCTAGCAGCTTGCAGGGAATCAGCGAACACCTGGAAATGCAGAGTGCCGGTGTGACAGAGGCACGCCCTGTTCGTTTGGGCTTGTTTGTTGGCTGAAAGTACTATTGGCTGGTTTGGTGTAAGAGAAAAATATTATTCGTTGGCTGAAAAAGAACGACTTATAAGCCAAACAAGCCCAAACGAAGAGGGCGTTGATAGCTGGTGTATTTTGTTCCAAATGTAATCTCCCCCCGCTCTTTCATGTGTAACTCTGAATTTGCAGGCTTGACCTGCAGGGCGCTAGCCCTCCGTTACCGACATCCTCTCGGCATCTATGGTTAATATATTTCAGGTGATGACTCTTTGTCCCCCGCCACCTTTCAAAAAAAAAAAAAGCCCCAAATAACCTTATTGGATCTTGAGCATTACTTAAGCAAGCTGTACTAATGGTTGTACTACATGTAAGTGTGCTCATACAAATACCACGTAATAACAAAAAATGCCCTTAACAATCATTCTATGTCATTTTTTATTCTGAACACATTCCTGGTACTACCTGATAAATCAATGGTCAGAGTTAAATCGTTTGACTGCCTGCCGTGCACGCAGGACCGGGCTTTTTGGACCAGAGAATAGTTTCCAAGTTCCAACTGGCAAAGTGCTCCTTCACAAAACACTGACCTCTGTTCTGCGAGATGCCTATGCAGCCAGGTGCAGGAAACAGTGCAAGAATCTTACCGTGAGCTGCCAAATATCTGGTACTACCTGCGACAACGTACAAGTGTAATGTGAAATGGCTTTACCAAAAAGCCAGATGTATAATGGCAGTGAAACCCCATGACACAAGGGTAACAAACTTAAAAGTAACAACTACCTCGCCCCCAAATTGGTTACACGAATATTATCATTTACAGCTACTATCATCTCTCCAAAGGGTGCGTAACAACCAAACTACAACAACTATACAGCGGATGCAGTATTATCCTGCTACTAATTGGTACATACATCTTATAAGCCATCTTACTCACTTCATCAATACTAACTCCCTTGGAGGGGGGAAAAAAAAGAAGACATTCAGTCTTGTTTTGTCTTCTGCAACATATGGGTTTTGCAATTACTTGGCAACAATGAGTTCGTCGAGGGTTACACCGTCACCGTCTGTGCTAAGAGGTGGCAGCACTAGGTCATCATCGGCAGTGAAATGGTACCTTTCCCCAATGGCTCTAACGAGCTGGTAAACCTCAAACATGGTTGGTCTCTCCTTTGGGGTGGCGAGCGTGCAGGAACACGCAACTTTCAGGAACTGCTTCAGCTCACCATCGGTGTCCTTCCCTACCAGCGACTTGTCGATAGCATCTTGGAGAAGTGCGTTGTTGGACAGATAATTGATCCATTCCACTAGGCTCCCTCTGAAATTCTCAGGGGCTGAGGAAACGTGGGTAGGCTTCTCGCCGGTGACGAGCTCAAGGAGAACCACACCAAAGCTGTAGACATCGCCCTTCGGCGTGGCCATCAGAGTACGCGCATACTCCGGTGCCACGTAACCGAGGTCTCCGAATTCCCCATTGACAAAGGTGCTGAGATGGGTGTCTATTGGGTTCATGAGCCTAGCAAGGCCAAAGTCCGATATCTTTGGTTCGAAATCCTCATCCAAGAGGATGCATTTGGAGCTGATGTTGCGGTGAAGAACTCGAGGATTGCAGGTATGGTGGAGATATGCAAGCCCTTTTGCTGCACCAATACCGATTCGTAACCTCAACGGCCAATCCATCTTAGTACCTTCCTCTTGATTCAACTGATCATAGAGTGAGCCCTTGGGCATGTGCTTGTACACCAGCAACTTCTCCTTCTTGGCAATACAGAATCCCAAGAGTGGAACCAAGTTCCGGTGCCTCACTTGGCCAAGTGTCTTCATCTCTGATGTGAACTGTGATTCAGAATGTTGCGAGTCTTGTAGCCTTTTCACAGCTAGGAAGGAACCGTCAGGTAGCACTGCCTTGTACATAGTTCCTGTCCTCCCAGTACCAATGATGTTCTCTTTGCTGAATTGGTTTGTGGCTTTCATGAGATCACTTAGTTTCATCTTTGAAACTGGATTCTCAAACATAGATACCTGGATAATAATAGAAATAATAATGTCAGCGAGAAGTTCCTGACTACTTTTTGTGAGAAAGGTTACTTGAAATTGACATTCATGCCTATTTGCCTAAGAAAAAGAAAACTGAAATGATAAGTTAACGACTTGCCTTGATAGTTTTTGGTCCTTTGATACTCTTTGCCCACTTATTATCATCCTCATCCTTTGCCTTCTTCTTGGCTGGTATCCTCCGCAGACAAAAGAACACAACTATTGCACCAATAATGACGACAACTACCACTCCAATAACAGCCCCGATGATTGCTGCAGTGCTCTTGCTCTTCGCTGAAGCTTGGCAGTCACCTAATGGAGGCCCACACAGTCCTTCATTACCAGCAAAGTTTGATGCCGAGAAGTGCCGTAGAGAACTTGGAATAGTCCCTGATAGTCGGTTGTCAGCAACATTGAACACTTGTAACCGAGCAAGGGCGCTGAACTGCCCTGGGATTTCACCACTCAATTGGTTATGCTGAAGATTAAGGGTGTTTAGGTATGTAATGTTATAAATAAGTATTGGAATTCCTCCTGAGAAACCATTATAGGAGAGGTCCAGAGATGTCAAAAATGGCACTTGCTGCTCGATGTCTGAAGGGATGGCGCCTGTAAAGTTGTTACTTGACAGATCCAGCCCAGTCATACTGGTACAATTCTTAAGACCTTTAGGGAATGGACCTTGAAGTCCAAGGTTGCTGAGGCGCAATGTAAGAACTCGATTCTCATCTGGGTGCCAGCACTCCACACCAGTAAATTTGCATATGAAACCCGCAGTGCCATTATCAAAAATCCATGAGGAATTGAGTATACCATTTGGATCAATCACCGATTTCTGAACTTCTCTCAAGCATTGGACATCAAGCTCAGAACTGAAACAACTGGTACTTAGTAGCAACAGAAGAAGAGCACCTAGACCTAGAGCAAAATGATCTGTCATCGAGCACTTTGGTGAACTAATCCAACTTCTCCCTGATGATGTTAACACTTCTCGGTTCAAGCTTCACCTACACAAAATCAAATTCGAACGCACAGAATTAGAGACGCTGGACTTTCAAAAAATAAATAAAATAAACAAGAGAGACATATACTAATTGGTAAATGGTGACAGCAACCATATGGGGACCTGAAAGTCGCTATGCAACTTCTCTCTTCCACTACCTAAAATGCAAAAGTTCGATTCAAACGTGATATCGACAACGCCAAATAATGTGAACCACACACAGGCAACGTCAGTTAAAGAACCGATCCCCACTAGAGGCAAGCAAATAACACGAGTTGCCAACTTTTGTTAACGTTTTTGCAACAAAGAAGAAGTGCAGCCATATGCATGGAAAGCAACCAAAAAAACGAGAGGCAGATCATGAACAAATCCTCGATTCTACATATTATAGAAACTGTCAAAAGGCTTTCTAATTTAGTCTCTTGATTGATCTCTCATGCCCAACATAAACGGCTCCAACCGCAACACAAGGCGCACAACTTTTCAGACGAAAAAAAAATCTAAGGAAAAAGATCTCCCGAAAGCGGGCACCATAAGAGCACATGCTCCTCCGTCTCTCTCTCTGATTTCACACGCTGGGTCGTTCTTTAAAAAAAAGCACTTTTTGATTGTCGCAAACCCTTCCTCCTGAGGACACAAACCCGCTAGAACGAACACCATGAACGGGGTTTCTCTCCCAAATTCCAGCACAGTACTTTGCGAAAACACAAAATCGATCGCTTTCCTTGCCACCAGCCCACCACGACAGACAGGTCCTCTCGAATTTAAGAACCCTCGCCCAGACCAGAGCATGCAAGATCGTACCGGACCATGGCAAATTTTGCAAGAACGATAATAATTAAACCACAAGAAAAGAAAAGGATGAGAGGACGAGAGTGAGGGAGGGACGGGTTCCATGGGTGCTCACCGGGCGGACCAGGGGATGGAGGAGAGCGCCGGCGGGGTGACGACGAAGCTGCGGGTTGAGGGAGGGGAGAGGACTCGGAGTCTCGGAGTCGGAGGGAGGACTAGAGCGAGCGAGCGAGCGAGCACGCAGGCAGGGCCGGTGTGGAATTAGAAAGAGAGACGAGAGTTTTCAAAGCGTGTGGGGGCCCAGTGGGGCCCGCGAGAGCGGGCGGCGTGCTGAGTGAGGTGAGGACGGGACGCGGAAACCCAAGAACTTTCCCGTCAACTCTCCCAGTCTACCCGGCCCGCCTGCTCTGCGCCCTTCGTTTTTCTTTTCTCTCTCTTCTGGATGATCGGACGGACCAGGATGGCAGTGTGGATTGGATAAGACGTCGTAGAAGTAAATATTCACCTCCTGTAAATTGTTTATATCTAATAATAATAACAATAAATGGTGGTCTTATATCAAATAGGAAAATCAAGTATCCATATCTACACGCTCGTAATGACTTCACTGCGGGCCTCCTGTTTGGTTCCGCCACAACCGATCACGTGACCACGATAGAACGCGGCTCAAGCGCGCAGTGTTTCGTCGGCCTGTTCGGTTTGGGCTGAAACGATCATATACGATCGTGGATTATTACTGTTGGCTGGTTTGGTGTAAAAAAAAAATATTGTTCTGATTGGAAATTTACGATCGTTTACGACCAAGCGAACAGGCTGCATGTCTTGCGTGGTCGTCCCACGTGGGTCCAACGTAGACCGTTCGGCGGGATTTTTCCGCGTTCTTCGTTGAAACGCATCGCCAACACAGAACCAAACAGGGTCTACTCAATCATTCATAGGTTGTTATCCGTGCATATAAGCATACACTTAGATTATGTTTGGATGCAAAATATTTTTAGAATTTTTTAAAAAATCCATGACTTTGTAAAAGAAACTCAAGGAGTATTATTTTTTAGAGTTTTAGAAACTCCACCTTCAACTATTTTTTTTTCCGTAAACCATCATTTTGCTCATCTGGAGGTTCCAAAGCTATAACATCCAAAGTAGTCCTTACTGTGTTCCTCGAGAACACACAACAAAAAGAATTTTGGAAAAGGAAGTTTATTCTGATCTCAGCAACAGTTTTGCCTATAACCAATCCTTAGTATTTTTTTATATTGTAAGCTGTCTTTTATTAAAATTTCCCCTTTTATCAAGAACCAGATAAATATTTTGATTTGAGTAGTAATTCTAGCTTCCATAACAACTTGTTTAAAGGCATGACAATTTGATTAATTAAGTATTTATACATTGATTTGCACTATGAAAGATCTTTGTTTCATAAGGCTCCACTTAATAGAATCTTATTGATCATCCAACTGAACAATTGCAATATTAGCCACTAATTCATTCCGTTTAAGTAGCTTTTCCCCTAGAGCTCTTTCTGAAGGAAATGTTAAGGGGTGTAGAACTAAAAGCCTTGATTTCTTTTCTTTTCCTAAAATAACTAGCAAAACTCTGCCGAACTAATTTTTAGAAGAGGAGGAAGTGCCGATTGCAGTTGTGCAAAGAAACCGGACGTGCCGTGTAAACGGTAGTAGCTCTTTTGTCTCCACCTATGGGCACGGGGTGACGGGGATGAGCTCACCGTTGCATGTGCCACGGCATCACAGTTCACTTGAAAGTTGTTGGGAAGCCGGCACGGGCCCGCCCATGGTAGCCGGCAGGACGTGACGTGAGCTGAGTTGAACGGGTCAAGTCTAGCCTGCTATCGGGTCCGTCTCTGACGTCCATGTCCATCCATGGAAGACCACTTGAGATCACACGTTGGAAAACAGATTCGGCTGGGTTCACATGCATGAACACGCAGTCATATAGATCTCCGTTCGTTTACATCCTGTTACGATTCTAAACGGGGAAAGGGAAATTCCGGAGAACGTATAGTAGTCAACAAACGATAAGCTGGAAGCCGATCGAGAATCTTGATGGTGCCGACTGATTTCTTGGGTCAAGAACAGCTAAGAAAATGGAGGCCACAGTCCTTTATCTCTTATTTATATATATTTATTTATTTTTATCAAACTCAATGGAGTAGATTTTCTACGGCTTTTGATCTTGTCTTTGTGGTAATGGTCGAGGAAGCTTTGATCGCTGTTAGATTCCTTTGGAGCAAATCTTCAAACACTAACCCGTGTCTGGAGTTCCTTTTGGCTGCTTGGTCAGGTAAGATTAGATTTAGCCCGATGGGGCCACGCACCTCCGTTTGGAAGTGGGAGAAAATAGGGACAGTCCATAGAGGAGAGGAACCTCCGTCGTAGGTGGTGGTCATGCGCTATTTGTTCACACCTGACACTACTGTTCAAGTGGAGCGCTGGACTGCTCCAACGAGTCGACGACTTTCCAAGCCCAATTCCAGTATAAGGTTTGATTGGTTGTTTGTATCATATTAGTCTTATTAGTATTAGATTATGCTAAAAGCAAGTCTTTTTAGTGTGAGTATCGTCTTGCAAGACCCGCCTGCTACGCCAATTCCTGCTCTTCGCTGCCGCTCCTAGGCCCCTCTCCTTCTTCCTCTCCGGTCAGGGGAACTCATCTCTTTAATTTTCTGTAGTTTTTTTTTTGAATTGCTTAGGGTTTAGTCCAAATAAATCTTTCGGTGAACTCAGATGATTTTTTGTCGGGATTGTGTTTATTGCGATGACTTCGATGATTGCTATGATGAGATCATCGTTGCAGGCGTCGATTTCAAAGGCAACCGACCAAGTTGTGGCTATTATCTGCAAGGGGATGGATGCTTCGGATGCCCGATCTCATCGTTGTTGGTCGTGGAGAGAAAATCAAAAGACTTATACAAACTCTTGTTATCTAATGCGAACAAATCTTGTGTGCTACCTATTATGGCCTCGTTCGGCTTACCTTATCATCCGCACTAGTTTTCAGCCAATTCAGTCAAGTTTCAAAGAAACCGAACGGGGCCTATAGCATTGGCCTACTTTGAGCACTGTATAAGCATGCATAAGTGTCTATGTAGGCAACCAAACATGAGCAAACTATAATGCATAAGTCTAGATATATGCCAATATAGGCAACCTGTAAGGAAAATGGACCCTAAGCCTATTTACTTTGAATTTTGGTGTTTGATGACCAACACAACTAAATTAGACTAATGAATTTACAAATAATTGTTTTGTAGTTCAATAGGGTGCAAGGCGTGACTTGAACGAAGGCGACATGGTGATCCCACGATCAACACCATAAGTAAGACCTTAGAAGCACAAAAGAAGACCCAAGATATCAAGTAAAGTCTAAGCACGAAGATAGGAACCAAGTCGGACGCAAGATCGTGAAAAAACGAGCTTCACAGAGGTGATCAGATGCGGTCCTTATAGAAACCGGACACGTCCGATCAAGATGCTCAGCAACGGCAGGCGTCAGTAGCAGCGACCGAACACTGAGGATTCAAGTGACCGGACACGACGATGACACTGTTCACTGTCGCGACAATAGCTCAGCACTGACCGAACACTGGAGGGTGATTGACCGGACGCAGGAACTACAGCGTCCGATCGAGTCCAGAGAGGTTCCAGAGCGGCGCGAGCGCGACCGGACGCGTTCGATCAACAGTAACCGGACTCAGCGCCGAGTCCGATCAACGCGCTAGCTTCAGCGGTCGGGACTACCAGACACGTCCGGTCGAGCAACAGCAGCGTCCGATCAGTAGCAGAAAGGTGGGTTTCGTCCCCAACGGCTACTTTCTCAATGGTTTTTATAAATAGACCATCCAACCGACTATTTAAAGAGAATGGAGCTGAGGACACATACCAAGGGTGTTAATACACCATTTTAGTGATCTCCACTTGCATAGTGCTTAGTAATTCATTAGGTGATTAGCGTAGATGCTTTGTGAAGTGCTTAGGTTGATTAGACCACCGCTTATGCGCTTGCTCTAGGTTTAGGCCTAGTGTTTAGTGAGGTTTGCATACCTCTTACCACTCGGTGCTTGCGCACACCATTGTTGTACATCGGAGGGGCTTGTAGTCTTGCGAGATCACACCAACCGTGTTTGT